ACCCACAGAAATGGACTGCATATTAACATAAACTAACCTGTAACTACGGTAATAGGACCTCGAACCTCAGATATGTTATGCTTTGTATAGTGCTTAACAAGAGATTTTATCACCAGAGATTTCCCCACCTGAAATCAAAACTTACTAAATTATACCATTCTCCACAATATCAACCCAAAAAAGATAAAGATAGTACCTTTGGAGGCCCCTGCACTAAAACGACATAAGGAGCCGGCTCCCCGGTCGACCTATCGATCATAGGAACATGAAGCCTCCTCTGTTCCTTCTCCGAAGCACGATTTTGCAATCTCTTCGCCTTGACTGATGAATTGAAAGCGAATGCCTAGTGCAAAAGAAACATTTTAGGGTTTTGCAAACTTAAAAAAGAGAGAGAGAAGGGACCAAGAACAAACTTTAGGGTTTTTCTGCTTCTCGCCGTCGGCAGATCGCTGATTCTTCTTCTTCTTCTTGTCATCCTTCTTCTTCTTCGAAGCGCCAGATTGACGAGACCTGTGAGATTTATGAGATTGCTCGGGTTTGGAATCGGCCGCCATTATTCTGATTTTTCAAGAAATTGAATGGTTTTTTTAGGACGAAATAGTATTGTTGAGTTGAAGCTGCGGAGGGAAATTAGGGAAATCGAGGCTGGAACTTTTACCGGTGGGCGTCGTCGCGGGGAGGGAGGACGGCGCCGCGGGAGGAGGGCGTCGGAGAGAGAGGATTGCAGGTCCTCGGAGAGGGAAGAGACAGTCGTCGCGGGGAGGGAGGACGGCGTCGTCGCGGGGAGGGAGGACGGCGTCGGCGGAGAGAGAGGGATGGGCGGACTTGGAGGCGGAAAGTGGAAACGATGGTGAAAACCCCAGGTCTTAAGTCTATTTATATATGGGGTAGAATTGTAATAAAAATTTTGATGGTAATACTTGCACCAAGTTTAATTAATAGGATTAACATATAAAAAGTTATCGAATACAAATAATCAGCCGAATCGAATATACTTTTAGGGGTCTTTGTTTCACTAAAAATTTTAGTATTTGGTATGGATTACAAATTTTGGGATCAAAAAGTGAGTTTTTTTGTATTTTGTGATTCTATATATGGTGTTTGTTTTAAGAAAATTTTTAGAATATTGACTCCGAAAAGTGCAAAAAATGTCTAATTTTTAGAATTTGTCATATCCTCTCAATTAAAGAGGATTTTGACAAATCCCATAAATGGATGTGTTTACCTCTCAATTGGAAAGTATTTGAGAAATCTTAATTTTGTCTTTTTGTGGGAGGTAACCTCACCAAAATAGCATATTAATGATATTATAAAATTTTGATATTGGTATTGCTACAATTTGAGCTTGAAACAAATAAAATATTACAAAGTGTAGTATTCTAAATCCCAAAATATTAATGAAACAAACAATATTTTAGAGATCCCAACCCATAACAAAACACATTTTCAAATCCCATAATGAAATCCACATCCTAAAATTATAGGATTTGAAACAAACACTCCCTTAGTAAATTCTGTTTATTTATAAGTCAAATACTAAAAATATATTCATTTAGTATTAAATGAACTGTCGGCTTGAAATGACCGAATATCTAGACGAATATTAACTGAATTGTTTATTAAATATTTGATTAGTTTCCACTCATCCTCTCTCAAAGAACATCTCCAACGCAGTGGCAAAATGCAGCAAAAAGTGCATTTGTTGCTGCGTTTGACCCTAACACAGCCGTATTTGTTGCGGCATTTTAGCAATGATGAACAGTACGACGTCATATTTGGTGTCGCACTGTTCATCATCGCATTATTGTTTTTTTAGTTTTTCTAACCTTTTAATTTTATGTATTTACAATTGACCCCAATTGTTTTATTAAATTTATAAAACAACACCAACAATATTAAAATTTTATAATTTTACCCCAATTGTATAATTTGGACAAAATAAATTATTTTTTAAAATGGAAATAATGTTAAATTTTAAAAGTCATTATTATTAATTATAATATTAAAATCTAGACATTATAAGTAAAGTCCCATGAAATATAAATTAAAAATATAAAGAGCAATCCTAATACATAATTCAAATATGAATTACATATCTGAAATATATAACATATAAAAATGACACACATAATATAAAACTTTATTAAAATAAAACATAAAATACAAACTAAACATATAACATTACATAAGATGGACAAGCAACTCTCAATAATCCGGTAGATCGGATCCCGAGTGTCCAATATCATTGAAATAATTACCAAAATTAGAAGCAGACCCGTGTTCTTGTTGATTTTTTTTGTATTATTTTAATTTGTTGAGCTCGAAGTACTCATGTACGTTTGGATCAGCAATGGAATTTAAATCTTTCATTATAATTTTTCATTCATATATAAGTCGGTTATTATTTGTATCGATGGAGTCCACTACACTTGACTCATGATCATCATTTTTCCTTTTCAATCTGGCTTCTTTTACCCCAGTAGGTCGTTCAGGTGGAGTAAATGATGACAGTCCAGGAGATGTTGATATAGGAGAATCCGGAGTGGGATTATCTAATTGTGACGAGTCGAAGTTCACACTTTGGGGTTGTCTTCGACCAACTTGTCTTGCTATGGGGACATCATCTTTAGATTTTTCAAAATTTTTAACTGTATTCCAGACATGATCAAATTTGAAACCTTTTTTGTACTTTGGTTCTTGCGTAAATAACATCTTTGCTCGAACTAACTGTAAATTATAGTGAACATCAAGTTATGTATTTCAAAAATAATAATAAATTTTAAAAGATAATTAATAGAATACTTACAATATCTTCATTTGAAGCACCACTTGGATTCAGATTCTCTACTTGTCTCAAGCACGCATTCAATTTTCTTACTTCATTACTTATGATTTCCATTCGAGAATGAACTGATCGGCTCGTACGCGCCTCAAAATGTTGATCTTGAAGTTCATTGTATCTGTCCTCCACACGAGACCAAAATGTATCTCGAGATTGGTTTCTACCGATAATAGGGTCTTGAGAAATATCCATGAATACTTGACAAAGGAGCACATCTTCAGTAACCGTGTATCCAGATGATCAAACAGACATTTTTTTTTTATAAAAAGTGGTTGGTTTGGAGATTAGAAATACTTTGAAGAAATATTTCGAATTGGGTGGTTTGAAGTAGAATTCGTGAATGTTATTTATCGTCAATCCAAATTTTTTTTGTTTGAATTTGAATTTGGATTTGAATTTGTCGGTGGTCAACATCTGAAATTGAATCGTTGTGTACAAACTGATCAGCTTTACACATTATCCAACATTGTCAGTGAGAATCATTTTCTAAAATCAGCTCAGCTTTACACGTTGTCCAACGTATACAGCTAAGCATTCATTGAATTTGAATCAGCTCAGCTTTACACATTGCCCAACGTATACAGCTAAGCATTCATTAAATTTGAATCAGCTCAGCTTTACACATTGTCCAACGTATTCACAACTAAGCATTCATTGAATTGTGTGAAAGCTTTAAATGAGTGGGAATCATTTTCTGAAATGAGGTCAGCTTTACACATTGTCCAACATATACAACTAAGCATTTATTGAATTATGTGAAATATCTATATGAGTGGGAATTATTTTCTGAACTCAGCTCAGTTTTACACATTGACCAACGTATACACAGCTAAGCATTCCTTGAATTGTGTCAAGAATTTATATGAGTGTGAATCATTTTTTGAAATCAACTCAGCTTTACACATTGTCCAACGTATACAACTAAGCAAATTTGAATTTTGTGACAAATTAATAACAGCTGGAAAGCATTTTCTGAAATCAGCTCAGCTTTACACATTGTTTAATGTATACAGCTAAGCAAAGTTTTATAAATAACATACTAGATTAGGTACCTCCACACAGTTATTCATTATTGTGTTAAAATTATTATTCTCCATTTCTGCATACTTCAATTATTCTTTTCTTACTTCAAAAATGAATTTCAATGCTGGAGGTCCATCATATTTATCATCTTCTTCATCTTTGGATGATGATAATTTTCTGTCCAATATCATTACAGAGATTGATGAAACCGAAGAAGTAATTTATGAGTACATCAACAACAACATGATCCTCGCTAACAATTTACGTCAACAAAACTATCAACCGATCCATGATGGCTCGATTCCTGGTCATGCAGTGATCAACCGTGATCGAGAAACTGCGCATCAGAATTTGGTCATAGATTAATTTACCAATAATCCACGTTTTAGAGAAGATATGTTTCGTCGTCGATATCGGAGGTCAAGAAGTTTGTTCCTTCGTATTGTTGATGCAGTGAAAGATCATGACTACTACTTCCAACAACGAAGTGATGGACTTGGTAGAATGGGATTATCACCGTTACAGAAAATAACAGCTGTTTTTTTGCATGTTGGCATACGGTCTACCAGTTGATGCTACGGACGAATATGTTAAAATAGGTGAGTCAACAGCAATTGAAAGTATGACAAAATTTTGTCGTGCTATGGTGGAGATATTCGCAGAGCGGTATTTACGAACACCTAACGCTAATGATATTGCTAGGCTACTCTATATTGGTAAAAAAAACATGGTTTTCCAGGAATGTTAGAAAGTCTTGATTGTATGCATTAGAAATGGAAAAATTGTCCAACGGCATGGTCTGGGCAATACGCATGACGTAATGGGTCACTAACTATTATCCTTGAAGCTGTAGCAGATTATGATCTTTGGATATGACACGCATATTTTGATATGCCAGGCACCAATAATGATATCAATGTGCTAAAGTCATCTAATCTTTTCTCTAATCTAGCTCAAGGTATTGCTCCTCCCGCTCACTATGTTATTCAAGGAAAAGAGTATAATATGGGTTATTATTTAGCTGATGGTATATATCCAAAATGGGCTACTATTGTACAAACAATCCAACAGCCACAAGGTAGGAAGAAAAATAATTTTGCCATGAAACAGGAAGCATGTAGAAAAGATATAGAACGTGTGTTCGGTGTTCTCCAATCCCGATTTGCAATTGTGGTAGGATTAGCACGTTTTTGAAAAAAAATATGTATTACATGACATAATGACTGCATGCATTATTATGCACAATATGATAATCGAGGATGAACGTGATCTTTATGCACTAATTCAAGAAGTGAGGGAAGCACCAACACCAGAAGTTAATATTGTAGCAGATGAAACTACAAGATTTAATCAATTTATTGCACGCTACGCACAAATCAATGATAAAGATGCACATACAAATCAATGATAAAGATGCCCATATTGCGCTTCATAATGCATTGATAGATCATCTATGGGAGGAATACACTAATTCAGATAGTTAAGTGTATATTAAATTTGTAATTTTTACATTGTTGTTAATGTTTAATTATTTTCTTGTATTTTATTTTCTATTGTGTTCTTAAATGTAATATTTTGGCAATCAAGTTATTTTAATTAATAAAATAATATTTTATTGTTTTATTGGTTTATTTTTTTAAGTAATAAATTATTTTGTTTGAAAAATATGTGGAAAAAAATAAAATTTGATATGTGAGGTTAATTGTTGAAATAGTTAAAAATATAGTGAATAAAAAATAATAATAAAAAATAATAATAAAAAAGTAGATAAAAAGGAATATCCTAATAATATTCTTTTGTGGTGCAAAAAATGGTGCAGTGGGTTGGAGATGGATTACTTGACTTTTGTACTGTTAGGCCCCGTTTGGCAAAGGGTTAATGAATAGGAGTTAAAGAGAAGGATTAATGTACTTAGCCCATTTGATAATCCGAATGACTAAATTATTAACACGTTAAATAAGTTTTATTTTAGCCCTTATGATCAGTTTTAGTGTTTGGGAATAACAATGATTTTGACTATTTTCTTTATAATTAAAAGGGTTAACTCTTATTCCATCTAAATAGGAGTATTAGTAAACCCCTCATTTTGAGAGGTTAACTCATTTTAACCCCTCTAGAGGGGTTAACTTAACCCTTCTATATTTTTTTTGTATGGCAAATTATGGAGGGTTAACTCACTTTAACCCTTATATAGATTTGTTGTGTTTGATAGGTTAAGAAGTGGCAAATTATGGAGGGTTAACTCACTTTAACCCTTATATAGATTTGTTGTGTTTGATAGGTTAAGAAGGGGTTAAGTCTCCTTAACCCCTCACTTAACCCTTTGCCAAACGATACCTTATGGTGTAAAATTTGCATCATTTTGGTACGATGAGTTGGAGATACCTTACACCCCCAAAATCTCATGTGCTTCTTCTCTCCAAGCCCCAAATCTTTAAACCTAGCATATGAAATGGTGTTGCTGTGATCATGACCCCAAATTCATCGAAATCATAGCCTTGCAATCAACTTGCTATTGTCCTCGACCCTAAATCATCGACGGGGACCTCCTCCAATTCGTCGCACCTCACAGGTCCATTTCTCATTCTCCTTCTTTCTTTCTTTCTTATATAACTATGATTAAAATTTTAAAAAGACAATTGCGGTTATGATTACAACAATTTATTTTGTAATATACGTATAATAATTCCACTTGTAATATTCTAAAAAACAAACAGTAATTTCCTTAAACAAGATATCAAAAGCATGATTATGAATTTCACACTGAATTAATTAAGATATAAAAGATTTGTTGGAGTTGGCTCAATTTCCAACTAAATTTATTGCTGTAATTTTCTACATGCAGATACAATTTTGCATGGTCTTTTCGGGCATGGTGCAGACATTATTTGACTCGGAACTCTATATGAAAGTTGTAGAGGTACACGCATAGTTTACGCTAAACTTTGAATCACAGGAATCAGAGCAGTATGGATGGAGTTATGATCAGTCAAAATACCCTATCCGAATCTAGACAGATTTGTATATACCCAAACATTTTGGAAGATGAAAAGGTTAATCAATGCCTATAAAAAGGCATGCTCTCATTGTGGAGAGGTAATAAAAGGCAATCCAAGGGTAATCTAAGTTTTCACTTGTTCTCTTAAAAGTATAGAGAGTTAGAGTGAAGAAAAGTCTTTTATGTTGTAGAGATCTCGAGTGTTGAGTTAATAGAGAAAGAGCGTAAGGTTGTCGGGTGTGTCGTGTATGCCTTGTACCCATTTGTTGATTCCATATAGTGAAGTATCCTCCGAGCTCTGAGCTCAACCCGTGGTTTTTCCCGTTTGGGGTTTTCACATAAATCCTTATGTCCTTTCTTTATGTGATTATTTATTATCTTTTTGTCATTAAGAACAAGACCCTGAAGTGGTATTGAAAAGTTTTGTAGTTCGTCAACACCAACAAGTCGTATTCATGCGAGGTTGTGGTGTTCTTAATGGCTGAAGACAAGTCAATAATCGGCGTTGTGAAGGTTGAGTTGAAGTCATTCGATGGGTGAAGCAATTTCACACTATGACAGCGTAAGATGAAGAATATCTTGATTCAGCAAAATCTACACATGTGTATTATGGGGGTTAAGCACAAGCCGGAGACGATGTATATGGAGACTTGGAACAAGGCAGACCTCAAGGCGATAAGCTCGATTGAGCTGCACTTATCCGACGAAGTCACCTACAACGTGATGGAGGAGACTACCGCAAGGGGCACATGGGAAAAGTTAGAAAATCTCTACATTGGAAAGACTCTCTCTAACAAGCTTTTCTTAAAAGATGAATTGTTTAATCTTCATATGGAAGATGGAGATGATACTATGGAGCATCTTAATGTGTTTAACCATTGTATAACGGATTTGTTGCAAGTGGAGGTCAAGTTTGAATAAGAGGATAAAACTTTGCTTTTTCTACGATCCTTGCCGTCGTCTTTCAAACATTTTCGGACCACACTCATGTTTGGCAAGGAGGCTCTTCGATTTGAAGAGGTTGTTTAAGACATCATCTCTCATGTCAAAATGAACAAGAGCACAGGAGTTGACTTGAAAAATGAAGACCTACTCGTCAAGGAGTTGAACGATGGAGGTCGATCTAAGGAGAAATGTGCCAAGTTGGATAACTGCGGGAGATCTAATCCAA